GCTGGAGGCCGTCATCTCGGCAGCCAGAGAAGCTGGAGCTGTTGCTTCCTGCCATCCTCCTGGCAGTAAATGCCATTTCCTTGGGCTCTTTTTAGATCAAAGGAAAGGCTGGGTTGGGGCGATGAGCGGGCATCATTCAAGGGTGGCACAGTGCACATTTGGGACGCTGCTGGGATGGCTTAAAAATAGGCCTCTGTCCTTGGACACCGAGGGAAAGTGACTCTGGGATTTTCAAGAGGCCTTTCCTGGCCAAGGTTACTGACCCTCCATGGGGGAAACATTGCAGGATATAATCCCCTGACCCTACAAGTAGCCATCTTCGACCCAGGAGTGAACCTTTTCTCGGCAAAGAAACTAAATAAGGTAACTAAAGGGGGTGTGTGTGGGGTGGGGGAACCCAGTGTTAAGTGAACACCTACTACGTGCCACACACCGAGTCTGACCAGCTGGCCTCATTCGTCCTCAGAGCAATCGTGCAGGGTGGAGATGACTCTTACCAGTTTTCTAGGTCTGGTTAGGGGGCGGGGCAGAGAAGTTAAGCATGTACCTCAAGATCACACAGCTACGGAACAACAAAACCAGAATTTAAACCCCCATCTGCCTGACTCCAAGCCTGTGCTCTTTTTAACCGCCTCTCACATTGAGATTTAGAAAATAAAAGTGTAGGAGAGATGGAGTGAGGGGCTTACCCAGGGGTTGGACCTGATGTTCCCTGCAGGGGAGGGAATGAACATTTAGTGCACATCCATCGTGCGCTGGGACTCCTGCTGGGAGCTTTCTGTGCTCTCATCGCCCCTCCCAGCAGCCTGAGATGAGGCTCTGCATTCACACACTATTCACAGATGGTGACTTGTCCAAAGGCCCCTCAGACAAATTAGCAGCAAAGCATGCGCTCGAACCCATGAGGGCCGTTTTAAAGCACCGATGTGAGTAAATCACAGAGCAGCAGCCCGCGGAGCGGTTCTGATGTCCCCCTGCTTTCCCGAAGGATGAGCCCAAGGTTGGCAGTGGCAACATTTGTTTAGCCAGAACAGAGCTCCCTCCTCCCTAAATACCCACAGCCACTCATCACCCCCCCCCCAAAATCTGCACTCGTACGTTTTCGAGTGGGGCATTGCTTCCTTGACTAAACGCTGGAAAGACCCTTCTCTCTGGTCTTGGAAGGGCTGCAGCAGCCTTTGGTTAACCATGAGGGGTGGGCCAGGACTGTCCCCTCCTTCCTACACACAGGAAGAGACTACAGAGTCTCCCCCCCCCCGGTTCCCACCGCATAGAAACTCCTTCCCCCTGCCTTGTTCTTAGAGTCTCTAGACCCAGTTCCTGGCCAGAGAGAGGGAGGCACACCCGCACGAGGCCAGCGGGGACTCGGCCTTGCATGGGAGGAAAGGGTCTGGTCCCTGGCGTGGGCTGGGGGCCCCTCCCTGGCAGAAGGTGACACCTTCTCACCAGTGACAGGGTGTCCATTTAAATCTGGTCCTGGCACCAGCAGCCAGGAACCTCTGTGCCCGTGGACTCAGCCATTTGGGGGAACAGCTGAAGTCATCTCCAGGAGGGGAACGGCAGGGGACATTTTGGCTCTCAGTGGAATATTCTGCAGTGGTGAAACAGAACAGTGAATGCTTGGGAGCCATGTGGGAAAAAATGCTTTTTATATAATGTTGTTAGGAAAGAAAAGGCAGGAGGCAAAATTAAATGTGTGTTCTGGTTGCAAGGAAGTTAGAAAAGGTACTCAGTACTACTTAGTGCTTAGTACTTCTGTGCTACTTATGCAGGAAAGTCAGGACAGGAGGAAAGAGCGCTGGTTTGGGGTCAGACAGAGCTGGGTTCATATCTCCTTGTAGCCGCAGGAAGTTTTTTTTCCTGGAAAATAAAGACAATAATCCTGTGGGTGAGGATTTGTACTGAGAATTAACTGCAACCTTGTATCAAAAACATCCGGCCCAAGACATGGCGCCTAGCGAGGGCACAGCCAATGGTTCTTCCGTGGATAAGGACCAGGCAGGATAAGGGCCAAAAGATGAAAAATGCAATGTGAGTTAAGGTGTGAATGTGGGGGGAAGAGGGGAAATTTTCTCCTTTTTCCCCGACTTTCTCTAATATGGCTGTAGTGTTTATTGCTGTAATTTAAATGACAAAGTTCAGGTTTTCCATTGACATCCGTGAACTAGGATGTTCTCCGAGGCCCGTGGGGTCCATGGCCACAGTTTTCTGTTTCATGCAGAAGCTGTTTTCCCTGAGCTGAGCTAAAAGGAGACGCTGGTGTACAATTTGCAGATTGCTTTTTGTTCTTTCATTTTAAGCATTTTCAATGTGTGTCAATAACACATCCTCTTAGAGACTTTTTCACTCTGGTTTTCTTTATCTCACATCAGGACTCTGGCCTCAGAGGAGGGAAAAGTAGTGTTTATCCCTCATTCCCTGAAGGAAGTTGGATCATATAATCAAAATTAAACAAATATGTAAACTTCGCTGGTTACTTGGCTGCCTTTTACCCTAACATATAGCTGGTTTAGCAGGAAGCATCCCCTTGTAGTAACAAAGCAGTATCTCTCCACACCCCAGCATCCATTGAAATCGCCAGGCCACTCTGAAGGAACAGCTGCTTAGGATTCCCAAGCCAGTTTTGTAAAGAAAGTCTCTGATTGAGAGGTAAGGTTGGAAAAACAACAGTGATGGGAGCTGAGATAAAAATAATCAAATAAGGGTGGCCTGTGGTCTTTGGTGCTTTTGATCTCCAGTCCTATTTAATGTTTCCTGGAGAGTTTGCCAGCGGCAGGGACCTTGGAGAGAATCCGGCCTGTTAGACACAGGAGGAAACTGCCGCCCAGGGTTGGGTGGCTGGTACAAGGCCACAGCGTGCGTGGAGAACGCAGGCTCGGCTGTCCTGGGCGGCCTCTCCGGATGGTTTACACCCGGGCAGTATTTCCCCCACTCGTCTGATTTTTGTCCTGCCGGAATTGCTGTCCAGTGGTCCCTCACTCTTATCCTTGTGGTTCCGGAGATGGCCCACAGCCTGGCTGCGTCCACCCTCCTCTCTGCCTTAGGGGCCGTCCCTAACAGGCAGTGCCGGCCTGCTCCACTGGAGGCCCCTAGTGGCTCCCACTCCCCATGGTGTGCACTCTGAGCCTCCCAGGCTGGCGTTCAGGGCCTTCCTGGCTGGTCCCTATGATGCGATGGCACCCTCACCCCTCACCCCTGCAAAGCAGTGGCTGCCCAACCTCAGATACCCTCTGTCACACCTATCGTAGTACTTACCCTCCCTTCCAAGTCCAGCTTCCCCCACCTCTGCCCCCAGTGTTCCCTCTGCCTGGAATGTAGACTCCCTTAAGACCTGGCTCTGTGGACATCAGCCCCTGGCTGAGTCTGGGGTCTCCTCTGGGCCTAATAGCCCCCCAATGCCAATGCCTAATGTGGTCTCTATTGTTATTATTGGTCCCTAATGTTCATGTCTATTCATCTGTGTGTCTTCTCTTCCACGGAGAGACTCAGATCTCCACAAGGGCAGGATTGTATCATCACCTGTGCTCCCTCAGTGCTTCACACCAGCAGATGCATCTGCAGAAAAGATGGATGGATGGGTGGATGCATGGATGGATGATGGACAGATGGATATATGGATGAATGGACAGATGGATGGATGAATGGATAGATGGATGCATGCATGGATGGATGGTTGGATGGATGGATGGATAGATGGATGGATGGAAGGATGGATGGATGGATGGATGGATGGGTGGGTGGGTGGATGGATGGATGGATGGGTGGGTAGATGGATGGATGGTTGGATGGATGGATGGAAGGATGGATGGATGGATGAATAATGGAGTGAGCATTTTGCCTGCAGCCCTCCTCCACCAGTTCAATGCCTAGCAGGCCTGCCTAGGGGTACAAGGAATCAACAGGTGGCCTCTGCATCCCTCTCCTACGTCAGGGGTCTACAGCACAGCCCTTCTGTCCATCCTGTGTTGATTCCTAAATAGCAGAGAGAATAAGGTAAAATGGCTAAAAAGGCAGGATGGAGGTCACACAAACATGGCTTCAATTGAAGCTCTGCCTTTAGTGAAGCCAGCTGTGTGACTTCAGGCAAATAAATCAACCTCTCTGCAACACCATGTCTTCATTTGCATGAAGGGGATAATGGTAGTCCTTACCTCATACGGTTATTATAAGGATTAAATGAGGAAATGCATGGTAAGTAACCAGGGATGGAGGAGGAAAGGTGGGAAGGATGATGCCCCCACCTCCAGATGGGGCCACCTGGGCTTGTGGCCAGTGTCCAGATCCTTTGAAAGGAGACTATCCCCAGATTCTCCAGGTTCTTTGGGGCAAAATTCCCATAGAAATGAATTATGAAAGGTGTATGTTCTAGAAAAGGCAGCCTTGCTTATAAAGAATGGCTTCCTCTTCTGTGGGTAAAGGGGAAGGGAAATTAGAATCCTGGCTTGGGTGTCCTTTGGAGCCTCAGTATTGTGATCATGTTACTAGTTGCTTATTAACCACATGCTCTGTACCAGGCAGTATTCTAGGAACTTCATCCACATGTTCATTTAGCAGCTGTGTGAGTTAAGCAATGTCCCCATTTTACAGGCAGGGAAACAGGCTACAGAAGTGATAGGATCTCCTGCATATCACACAGCCCGGAAGTGCCAGAGAGCTGAGATTCCAGGATGCACTGGGGATCCCAAGAGTGTGCCCAAATTGCCTTGCTTTTTAATAAAAATTACACAGAGAAAAGCAACCAAAGACTCCCCACTACTCCCCAAGAATCCAAGGCCGCTGTTCCCTTTAGAGGGACTTTGCAGCCCACAAGCGGCTTTTGGAGGAAGCCTCCAGATGTGGAGGGATTTGATGGGGATGGGGAAGTCAGTTGACCCCAGCCTGGCTCTTGTGACCAGCTCATTGGTGTTGGCCCGTCTGGGAGTGAAACAGCTCTGAACAGTTTCAGAGGGCCTTAACAGTTTGCAAGGGCGCCTAACCCTCCTGCCTGTCTCTTCTCGCAGACTCGAGCCCGCCCGCGCGCCTCCTGGCCACCCGGCCTTGCTGCGGCCCTGGCCCGGAACGACGCCCGGTCCTGGGCGAAGCGCCGCGTTTCCATGCACAGGCCAAGGGCAAGAACGTGCGGCTGGACGGCCACTCGCGCCGGGCCACGCGGCGCAACAGCTTCTGCAACGGGGTCACGTTCACGCAGCGGCCCATCCGGCTATACGAGCAGGTGCGGCTGCGCCTGGTGGCCGTGCGCCCGGGCTGGAGCGGGGCACTGCGCTTCGGCTTCACGGCGCACGACCCGTCGCTCATGAGCGCCCAGGACATCCCCAAGTACGCCTGTCCTGACCTGGTCACGCGGCCCGGTTACTGGGCCAAGGCGCTGCCCGAGAACCTGGCGCTGCGCGACACTGTGCTGGCCTACTGGGCGGACCGCCACGGCCGTGTCTTCTATAGCGTCAACGACGGCGAGCCCGTGCTCTTCCACTGCGGTGTGGCCGTGAGCGGCCCTCTCTGGGCGCTCATCGACGTCTACGGCATCACCGACGAGGTGCAGCTCCTCGGTAGGTCGCGGCTCCCGCTGGCAGGGGGATAGGGCGGCGCCGCCTGGACGAGGCAGCGGGTCCCCGCGCGCATGGATGTATATTTCTGTAACATTCACGAATACCGAGGGCTCACTTTGCCAGGCGTCTTCTAAGCAGTTGACACATTTCAACTCATTTCTTTCTGGTGAAAACCTACCACCCCCGTTTTACCGATGAGAAAACTGAGGCACGCAGTGGTTAAATGACTTGCATTGCAAAGCCAGGATTGGAACCCACCCGGGTGTGGTCCAGAGTCCATGGTCAGGCCCAGGTTTATTCACTTGCTCCTTCGTTCATTCCGTGCTCATTCACTCACTCATTCTTTCATCTCATTCCTGTGCTCATTCCTTCACTACCTTGTTCACTTGCTCGCACACTCATTCATGCAAGTATTTGTTCTTTTGCTCGCTCATTCATTCACTCATTCATATATTCACTCACTCACACGTGTTTATTCATTTGCTCATTCATTCACTCACAATCCATTTACTGGTACAGCAGTCAAACATATGACCTAGTCTTCTAGTATTTACAGTGCCCAGGCAGTCGGCAATATGTATCGAATCAAGGCCCACGGTTAAGGGGCTCAAGGTCCACTGGGGAAGCAGGCAGGTAAGTGTGGCTCTGGCTGTAACAGAGGAGGTGGTGAGAACTCATGGGGCTACAAGTCTGCTGCTCCTAAGACCTTATTTCTCTCTCTCTCTCTCTCTCTTTAAACTTTTTAAAAAATTGAGGTAAAAGTCACATAACAGGGTTTCCCTGGTGGCGCAGTGGTTGAGAGTCCGCCTGCTGATGCACGGGATGCGGGTTCGTACCCCGGTCCGGGAGAATCCCACGTGCCGTGGAGCGGCTGGGCCCGAGCCATGGCCGCTGAGTCTGTGCGTCTGGAGCCTGTGCTCTGCAATGGGAGAGGCCACAGCAGTGAGAGGCCCGCGTACCGCTCAAAAAAAAAAAAAAAAAGTCACATGACAAAAAAGTACCATTTTAAAGTGTACAGTTCGGTGGCATTCAGTTGGCAACCATCACCTGTATTTAGTTCCAAGACGTTTTCATCACTCCAAAGGGAAATCCATACCCATTGGGCTGTCACTCCCCATCCTTCCCCCGCCCAAGCACCCGGCAACCATTGACCTGCTTTCTGTTTGCGACCTTAGCTCTTGAAGTCACAGGTGGCACCTGAGGCAACCCAGCCTCCATTTCTGGGGGAGCAAAAGGAGAGCAAGTTTCTCAGGGGACACAGCCCTATATGTCATTTACCTGCAGTGAACGCACAGATCTAAAGTTTGAGTTTTGACAGATTTATACACCTGTCCATAAGCCAAGAAACTTCCTGCCTGCCCCTTCTGAGGCAGCCCCCCTCTCTCCCGGGGCAGCCACTCTTCTGATATTTCACTATAGATTATTGTGCCTCTTCTTGAACTATACATGAATGGAATCATACAGCATATGCATTTGTGTCTGGCTTCTTAATCTCAGCACAAGGTCTTTGAGATTCATCCATGTTGATGGTGTATCAGAAGTTTGTTCCTTTTTTATTGTCCAGTAGTATTCCGTGATATGGATGCACCACAGTTTGTATATCTGAACGTTTGGGCTGTTTCTGGTCTTTCAGCCCTGCATCTTGAGGGGAAACTCTGGCCCCGGGCTCCTTGCCTACCACCACCCACACCACCATTGGGCAGGGAGGGGAGATGTATACGTTCAAGCTCCCCAACTCTCCAGGAGAAGAAAGGCAGCAGAATTTCTGAGCAGTTAGGAGCAGAGGGTTGAGAGTCACACGGATCTCTACTCCACACCTGGCTCTCCACTTGCCAGCTATGTGGCCTTAGCCAGGTGACCGAACCCTCTCTGTGCCTCAGTTTCTTCATCTGTAAATTGAGTTCGTGACAGCACCCACCTCGTGGGATTGTTGGGCAGGGGAACATGAGATGGTGTATGAAAGGGATGCAGCACAGCACCTGGCACATAGAAGGCGCTCAAGAAATAACAGCTAAGAAGTAAGAATCTCTGCCCGTTTGCATGGGGGCTGAAGCACGTGTCTGAAATCCAGGCTTAGGCAGACCAAATTATGAAGAGCTACCCACCCTCCAAGCTGGGGCCTTACTTGGGCATTTTAACTGTGTTGCCCCACACTCTTTTCCATGGAAGATTTTGGTATTTCACGTCCAGGAAATGTAGGTTTCTAAAACCTCCTCTAGATCTTCTGTCACTCTTTTTTGGAGCCCTTTATTCCTATAGAGCAGGAAAACAATCAGGCCTCATTCACCTGCTCCCTCAGATAGCCCATGTCTCAGGGTAACAGCCGAGAAATCACAGCCACTCCATAATCAGTGCAAGTGGATTCGGATTTTTAAAAAATACAAATTGGAAGCAGCCTCTGGTGACTTAATGAGACTGAACAAGCCTGTGAGGAGTCACGGACTCTTGCCCCTGTTCATTTAACAAGCCTTTTTTTTTTGAGCCCCTCCAGCATCCCACGCCCCTTGGAGGGAAGGAGAGGGCCCACTGGAACATCAGTGGCAGGTGGCAGGCATGAGCCTCAGTCTCCTTATCTGCCAGTAGTGCCTGCAGTGAGCTGGTTGACAGGGAGCACCTAGCACAGGTGCCACGGGGCAATGTTCACAATTACATGCAGATGGGGAAATGAGATTAGAAGGAATGCTGTCTCTCGGTGATGGGATCATAGGTGAATGTCACTTTTCTTTATTACCTCTATGAGTTATCTTTTTTAATATATATGTAAAAAACCTTTTATAATCAGAAAGGGCAATAAAGTTATTTTTCTTTCTAAAGGTTATATGAGATAATGGAGAAGTTACTGACATGTGATCAAGGCTCAATAAATGTTTCCTTCCCAGGGAAAG